GTATGGGGTTTGGGGTACACAGCAGGGAGTAGGTGCCGTATGGGGTTTGGGGTACACAGCGGGAATAGGTGCCGTATGGGGTTTGGGGTACACAGCAGGAAGTAGGTGCCGTATGGGGTTTGGGGTACACAGCGGGAGTAGGTGCCGTATGGGGTTTGGGGTACACAGCAGGGAGTAGGTGCCGTATGGAGTTTGGGGTACACAGCGGGAGTAGGTGCCGTATGGGGTTTGGGGTACACAGCAGGGAGTAGGTGCCGTATGGGGTTTGGGGTACACAGGAGGGAGTAGGTGCCGTATGGGGTTTGGGGTACACAGCGGTAGTAGGTGCCGTATGGGGTTGGGGTACACAGCGGGAGTAGGTGCCGTATGGGGTTTGGGGTACGCAGCAGGGAGTAGGTGCCGTATGGGGTTTGGGGTACACAGCAGGGAGTAGGTGCTGTATGGGGTTTGGGGTACACAGCAGGGAGTAGGTGCCGTATGGGGTTTGGGGTACACAGCGGGAGTAGGTGCCGTATGGGGTTTGGGGTACACAGCAGGGAGTAGGTGCCTTATGGGTTTTGGGGTACACAGCAGGGAGTAGGTTCCGTATGGGGTTTGGGGTACACAGCGGGAGTAGGTGCCATATGGGGTTTGGGGTACACAGCGGGAGTAGGTGCCGTATGGGGTTTGGGGTACACAGCGGGAGTAGGTGCCGTATGGGGTTTGGGGTACACAAGCAGTCTGCACAGCTGTGGGTTGAGTGTATGGATACATGAAAACCTCCATTGTGCAGGGCTGCGTGTGCAAGTACACAAGAAAATTCCTTTGTGGGTGTGGATGAGGGTTGAATGTATGAGTCTGCTATCAGCGTGTGTGTGAAACCTCCTTTAGAGCAGGTGAGGGGAAACTTAGTCACAAGGGCCAGCCAAAAATGGGAAATAAACACTCTGTGCCTGGGGAGACAGACAGGGAGACGGAGTTCTTCCTGGGATATCAGCTCAGATAGTCCACCGGGACAAGTGTGGAAGCTTAGTGGTCCTAAAGGGCTTAGTACCCCTGGAGGGCTGGAAAGGTAGCTCTTGTGCCCTGGGGGGAAACATACAAAAATCATGAGGTTCACTGTAGAAAAAGTGGTTGAGAAACTTAAGACTACACAAGGAGTTAATAAGATCCCATTGTTATAAAGCTTAGGTGATTGAGAAGCTCACTTTTGGCTTCCAATTTGATTTGTTATTTTTGTTTCATTGATATGCTTGAAACATTTCTTGTGCATTGTAAATTCTTAGACTAAAATTACAGGATTAATTTTCTCTTCTGCTGGTTTAATAAAAATAAGGGTGTTAAGGCTCCTTGGAGCCAATTCAGTTGTAACGTCGTGAGACCAGAGAGGTGAAAACAAAGGATGGGAGAGCATTTAAAGTTCAAATGGCAGCTGCCAGGACTCTTACAGAAAGATTGTAATAAGACACAGCGTATTTTATATGAGGTGTTTGCCTTCCCCATGGTGGCTGTGGTGGTGGAAGGGAGCTATTGGGGCAAAACTAGAACAGACTCAGATGTGTTCAGGAAAGCTTGTGAAGGATGCAGGTGAGCAGAAGATGCCTATGTTTGATTAAGTTGAGCTTTTGCTCTTCTGGTCTGATTGGGCACAGGCTGTTCTTCTGAAAGCTCTTCATTGCTTTAGGGGCTGTGTGTCTGGCTCTGGGATCATCAGTCCCCCTCCCCAGGTCCCGGCTCTCCTCTCTGGGCTAACTGTTGCTTTCAGACAAAGGCCATAGCTCTCATTTCCGAGGCTGATACTGGACATTAGCTTTTTTGCATGACTAGCAGGGATGCCGAAACTGGTCAGTGACAGAAAACAGGGCAGAGCTGCTTCCTTGGGCAGGCTGCACATGTGGCCTAACCTGGTTTTCTTTTCTTCATCTTTCAAGAGAGATCTCACTCGATCTTAAGACCAAATAAGTCTTATATGAATATGGGTAATTTAATGTCTAGTCTCAACATCACCTTTGTGTTAAAAGATTTTTAAAAGTTGAGTTTAAAAAGTAAAAACAGAAAACTTCAATGCTCTGTTGTTACCCTTCTGACTTTCATTTGTTATAAGTCTATAATGTTAATGACAAAAAAAAAGGTATTCAGTAGCTTAAAATGTTAAAGGAAATACTATGACTTACACTTAAAGGGAGAGTTAACAGATAACTCTGGCGCTGGGTGATTCTACTGGCTAGTGTATTTATAGCTATAAGCCCATAACTATAAAAAGAGTATTATAATCAACATGGCATTCAAGAGTGCACTCTGATTAAATTTAACTGTATTTATGTATTCTGTACACTATCTTGTCTATTCATCTGTCTGTTGTTCTGTTTTAATAGCTGGTTAAGGTGTATGTAGCTGCTTTATTAAAGATTTTTTAGCTCATGTCAGTTTTATTTTTCCTTTTATTTTTGCCTTTATAAACTTCTGGGTCTTAAGAGAATGAACTGGAATAAGGCTCATTACAGAAAGAAGTTTAATAGGCTTAGAGGGCCCTTACAAATACAAGTCTTAAAGTTTGCTAATACAAATGTTGTATGTGACTTAGACTTATGCATATGTTTCTTTGTGTGTTAGCTTTCACGTATATATTATCCTACAAGAACTCCCCCTTAAGTTTATTTATAGATAAATAGACACTTATTTGTGGGTTATATAATTTAATGGTGGGCCAATTTAAATCAGTTTGTAAAAGTAAAGATGCTTTTAAAGTTGGTGACATGTTTCTTTCTTTTTTTTTTTTTTTTTTTTTTTTTTGTCTTTTTTCCTTTTTATCGCTTGAAAGGCAGGCACTTATGCTGCTGAGCTAAATCTCCAGCCCCCTGGTGACATGTTTCTTTTCAGATTGTTAGATAATCAAAAATTTTTAATTGCTTTTATAAATATAATGCCTATTATTGTCTGTATATATATTATTGTCTATATATATTAACTTAAAAATTATATATATAGTTAACTGTTAAAATGACTGTTATGATTGATTCTCATGAGTTATCTAAAAGGATTATTGAGATAACTATATGTTAATATGTTTATTGTAATATATTTACAGTAGCTATAATCAAAAGGTTAGATTCTCCTGGCCCAGACCCCTGTGACCTGGTGCTGATAAGGAATTGAAAAGAGGTCAAACTCCAGCTGGCCTGGGAAGTCCCCTATCAAGTACTTCTGACCACTGAGATGGCCGTAAGGACTGCTGAAAAAGGGTGGACTCACTATACTCAGGTGAATGGACCCATAGGGGTCACCTGAAAAACCGTTAAGGCTGATTCTAAAACGGGAGCTGGTCCCCTGTCTGGAAGCTAATTTGGCTGTGATATGAACAACTACAGGTGGGGTTAGGGAGTAGACAAATTAAAAAGAAACTCTGGGTCACTCTGTTAGGCTGATAAGGAATAGAACTAAAATTGCAGCCTCTCTAAATTTGAAATGTGATTCCTACCAGTTCTCTGTCTTGTTTAAGTGTAAAATGTTACAGAACAGCTCTCATAGGTGAAAAACTTTCTTTCTTTGCCCAGAACCCTATTCTGGTTACCACACCCCTCCTTGTGTAGCCAGAGTGATGTCTGGTGACCACCAATGTCAGGGTTGGACAGCAGCGGACAGCTGAGACCTCTAATTTGGATACTCCCAAAAGATAGCCCATGTATATCCAAAGGCTCCCTCCAACTTACTGAAAGACCTAGAGTGTACCCTTATATTCCTAACTATCAACAACCCAGCCATTCTAGACCAAGGGCCAGATAAAGTGGCACCTTGAGTGTGTGAGTTAGGAGCAAAGTTGCAGGATGAGACCCTCTAGACAGGCTTGTCCTTATGGTTGAATCGAGCTCATCTCGACCAAAGGCTATCCCAGCTAACTCCCTAACACCCAGAACGACGATCCTAAAAAGGTAAATGTAGTAAACATAAAGGACCTGAGACCAAGATAGGACCGAAGAAGACGAACGCCTAGGTCAAAGTGGGTGAGGTTTTCAGCGTAGGCTCTTAATAAAAATGGCTGGTATGCACGCACCATGGCAAGACCACAAACACAGGTGGTTCCCTTCCCTGTAGACGGGACCCTGCAGAATGCTTTGCGTGGTGGCCTTATATCAGAAGAGGGATGTCTGGAAAAATGAGGCTTATAAGAGTCTGTGCTGCAGGAAATGAACATAGAGGAGGCCCTTCCCTTCTCTGTAGGGAATCTGAGTTATTCTTCTTGCCTTCCTAGGTGGGAAGAATTATTTACTGAACCCATGGGAGACTTGGCTACCTACACCCATGTCTTAAATGTCATTGGTGGGTCATGCAAAACCACTTGATGGTTGGGCTGATGTCTGGTGCTACTGTGGGAAAAAGAACCTCCATAGTTTATTACCCCTAAATTTCAACAGATCGTATCCCTTAGTCCAGCTGCCCATTCCATTCACCCTGACGTTCCATCAGCTCCCGGAATAAGAGAGTTCTTGAACTCAGATCTTTCCCAGGATCCTCTAACACCCACTGCCATGTATGTATTGATTCAGTCTGGGTACCCAGAGGGGTCTCCGGTGAATTGAAGGCACAAACTCAGATAACTGTTGGATTTGAGTCAGTACTCTTGTGACCCATTATTAATAAAAATGTAGTTTAGATAAACTGTATCTATTACAATCAGCAGTAGTTTATTAACAATACAAGAGATGCAATTTGAGCCAGGTGTGGTGACTCACACCTGTAATCCCAGCACTCGGGAGGCTGAGGATTGCTGCAAGTTCAAGACCAGCCTGTGCTACAAAGTAAGCTCAAGGCCAGCCTGAACTATATAGTGAGACCCTGTCTCAAAAAGACCAAAAAGAAAAAAAAAAAAATTGTGGCCTATCAATGATATAATCTCTTGATATTAAAGGAAGGTGTCAACTTATTGTCTAGGATTAAGGAAGTCAACTAACAGTAGATAGATTTGAAAACTCGAGATAAATACAATAATGGGACTAAGATCCTATAATAAGGAGAGAGAATGATTTTAATGGATTAAAAATTTTTTAATTGGTCCATGTTTAATTAACCACTCTGTTGAGCCCTTATTCACAGGGTGAGCTGGGTCAAGTAGTAAACAATGGCCCACAGGCTGTAAAAAGACTCACGCCAGAGATAAGGTACTGGGGCAAGAGATAATTACCAAACAGGTTCTTCTGAATTAAAAGCACGTAGCTCCTCATCTCTGTTGTGTCTGTCTGGGCACCACTCTTGCAAGAGTATAGACTAAAGCAGTGATGGTGCCCAGACTGTACCCCAAACCCTCTTACTTATCACAGAGCAACCAATGCTGCAAACGAACCTGAATGCTGGGGTTGTAGTTGAGAAAACACAACTCATGCATTAACATCTTTTGTGTTAAAAGAAAAACAACATGTACACAGTAGGTTCACTGCCACTGGATTAAAGCTTCACTTTCACTGCCTCTGGAGTCCAGTTTGTTTTTAGCGGGGCGATCTGGACAGTAAATTCATTTCTCACATGCAGCCATTAGGAAGTATCACTTGGAAGACTATGCGAAGATACCAAATGATTATTTTAACATCGTAAACAGATAAGTTACAGTACAAAATGCTGTATCTTAAAAGCCAAGCTGAAACCAGGCAGATAGTATGTCCACGGTAATAGCAACTGTCAGGGATAATTTACACAGAAAAGTCACAATATGGATAAAAATGTGGGCACACATTTTTACAGTCAATCTCTAGGATTACAGGTAGAGCCGCTTAGCTAATATTGGTCCAGTAGAAAGTAAGTCATGTAGTGAGACTGCACAGAAGGAACTTACCTGGATGACCGATTCCTAGCTGGACTTTCTGGACCAGACGGTGCTGATTATAGTATGATTCTAAGTTACCGTTTATCCCTTGGGGAGGTCTGTGGTCTGGCCATTGCATCTTCGAGGCCTGGTCTTCAGATGGGCCTTCAGTGACAGTTCTGATGTCTGTTCTTCCTGCTGACTGCTGTGACTGTCCAGTCCCTCCCTGACTTGTATATTAATTTCTATCTAATTTAGCTGCCTGTAACTTGATTATCCATGAAAATTCTTTTCTGATGCTTACAGTGATTTTGATATGGCTTGTATCTGTCTCCTTAAAGCCTCATGTGGTCATAGGTGGGGCTCTTAAGTGGTGGCTGGATATAGGGTGTGTGATGCCGCGGTGCAGGGAGACTTCTGCCTGTCCTGCTTTGCCATGGACTGTTTCTGTTCTGCAGTGCTCCTCTCCCATGCCACCCTCCCTTAAAGCCAGCCGTCTCTGGAATGGAGCCTCTACAAACAGCTGAAATAAACCTTTACGCCTTTAACCTTGGATATTGGGTATTTTGTCTCCATGATTAGAAAAGTAACCAAGACAGCTTTGTATTTCTTCTTTTTCTTTTCTTTTCTTTTTAGTACTGGAGATAGAACCCAGGGCATTTGCACTGAACCACATCCCCAGATTTTTACTTTTGAGACAAGCTCTCACTAAGTTGCTAAATTGTCCAGGCTGGGTTTGAACTTGTGATTCTCCCAAAGTTGCGGGATTCCAGGTGTGTGCCACCATGCCTCCTTTATGGACTGTTTTTCATGTACATGTTCTATTTTTAAAAATATATCTTGGTGTTTGTCTTGTTATTCATTTGGAAGCATTTGTAATATGGCTATACATATGTGATGACATATATTTGTTCCAATTGAGTTATATTTTTTTGTACATTTACCTTTTTTGGTACATAATACAACAGTAATACATGCCCGGTTTAAAAACATAAAAATAATATAAAAATTAATACTGAATATATACTGAAAATTTCCCATATTTTATTATTTCAAGTTGAAAATTTGGTATATATTCCTACATGTTTTTCTTATGCATATTCTACCAATTTTATTTCTTTTCAAAACTGGAAACACATACATAGTATATTTGACTTGGTACATGACTGTGTCTTACACATACCTCAAATTTAATACATGCAGTTTTCTTTTTAATAGTTGTATACTATACAATTTATATTTTTGTTTTTGTGGTATTGGTCATGAAATCTAGGGCATTCATTCACATTGGGCTATTCCCCAGCCCTTTCTAAAAAAATTTTTGAGACAGGGTCTTGCTAAGACACCAAGATGTGATCCTTCTAATCTTCCCAACTGCTGAAATTATAGGTGTGCACCACCACACCTGGCTATATTTTGGTTTATTTATTTATTGGTACCAAGAATCAAACTCAAGACCTTGTACTTGCTCAGCAGGCATTGTGCCACTGAGCTATATCCTCAGCCTCTGTATCGTGGTTTTTAACATAAAAAGTTTTACATTTCATAATTCAGTCCTGTGTGTGAGTGTGAGTGTGTGTGTGTGTGAGTGTGTGTGTGAGTGTGTGTGTGAGTGTGAGTGTGTGTGAGAGTGTGTGTGTGAGTGTGTGTGTGTGAGTGTGAGTGTGTGTGTGAGTGTGTGAGTGTGAGTGTGTGAGTGTGAGTGTGTGTGAGTGTGTGTGAGTGTGTGTGAGTGTGTGAGTGTGTGTGTGTGAGTGTGTGTGTGTGTGAGTGTGAATGTGTGTGTGAGTGTGTGAGTGTGTGTGAGTGTGTGAGTGTGTGTGTGAGTGTGTGAGTGTGTGTGAGTGTGTGAGTGTGTGTGTGAGTGTGTGTGTGTGAGTGTGTGTGTGTGTGTGAGTGTGTGTGTGTGTGTGTGTGTGTGTGTGTGTGTGTGTGTTGGGGATTAGACACGGGCCCATGTGTCTAGATGTACCTCCAAAGCCTTGTGTACTTTTAGATGGTGGTGTTTGTTTTTGATTTGTTTGTTTGGTTTTTGGGGAGGTAGCTGAATCTAGACTGTGTGATTAATAGGTAACGCACTGGTGGGTTTAAAGGTGTAGGGATTAAGGGTGGTTGAGAGCTGAATCAGTCTACCGTTAGATTTTCACCGCCCTAATCCCAGTAGTTTGGATAGGATAAAAGGGGCAGAAAGGGATTTGTTTCCCCTTTTTTGCTCATTGCTTATGCTGTCTCCTGCTGCCATGAACTATTGCCCCTCTGCTATGTGCTACCCTGCCGGGGAGCCAGCTGATTATTATCTATATCGAAGGCTTTGTTTTTTGTACTGGGGATCCAGGCAGGTGCTTATGCCACTGAGCTAAATCCCCTGTTCCAGCTGATTATAGACTGACACCTGGATAAGCTATGAGCTCAGCAAAACTTTCCTTCCTTAACTTTGTCTCAGCAACAAGAAAAATAACTAAGACAGGCCTGTAAGTGCTAAACATGGTCTGCCGCCGACCGAGGTACATGCCCAGCCCCAGTCTTTTATTTTATTTTATTTAGTACCAGAATTGAACTCATGACCTCACGCTTGTCAGACAGACACTGTACTGCTGAGCCTTGTCCCTGCCTCCCCCAGTCTTTTTAGAAACTTCATGTTGGTTAATGTTTATGCTTAGAAAGAAGGTTTTTAATTTTTTATGACAGTTCTCTGATGGACTAATTCAGGAAGTTACCCTTCCTTTGAAGAAGTGTGCTATGCTGTGAAAAATGAAGACACTTACACATCTTTCTAAACTGTAGGAGGAATCTGGCCATATAAGAGGAATGATAAAGTTTGCTGTATAAACAAAGAGTGGAGAGATACCTTGTCTTAATAAAATGTAACAGTGTTTACTTCGAGTGAATTAAAATTCCAAGTATATTACCACTCTAGGCCCTCTCAATAGCTAATATTTGCAAGTTTGAAATATATCAGTTATCTTTCAAAAAGAGCACGTTTACTTCCTTAAAACATTCATGAGATAACTGAGCTAGCTGCTGAGAGTGCAAGGATAAATATACACACACCCAGCTCTTCTGGAATTTAGTCAAGTGGCGAGTCAGATGATATTCAAATAATTGCATAAAGGAAATATAACACATTGCTGCATGCACAGTTAAAGCAGAGTATAGGGCAGCATCAGATGATTAACAGGAATCTCTTTGTAGTCTGAAACATCTGGAAATTCAACTTGAGACAGATGTGCTACCACTGGGAGATAAGGAGCGCAGGTGGCTGGTGAGGGGGACTCAGGTGGCAGGAGCCTTACAGCGGCAAGGACAAGCTTAGGCAACACAAGGGTCGCCAATGCTTTCAGACAGAGAGGCTGTGGGAGGGGAGAGAAAGCATGTCTCTCCTGAAATACTCAAATTCAGAGAGTTTTGTCATTTAAAAATGGTGTAACCATAACCACAAGGAATCAGGTTGTGATCCCTGCTCTCCAGGGAATATAAAAGTCATTAAATGACACTGAATCCCTGGGAGTCCTAACACTGAGAGCTGGGCTGTGGCACAAGCACCTCAGTGGTAGGGCTTACGCTTTGCACACCTGAGGTCCTGGGTGCAGTCCCTGCATGGCAAAACAAACCAACCAGCAAAACCTGAGATTTGATTTCCCGAGTTTAAAGGGGAAACTAAGTTCACATTCCTAGGTTGGAAGAGAAGCCAGGAGTGACTTGGAGTTGGCCACAAAAGTCAGACTTTTTAAGAAGGTGGTGTTAGTGCTCGGCATACCACTAAGAAACCCGAAAGCAAATGAGAACTGAAAAAATATCTGTTGGATTTTGCAACACAGAGGTCAATGACCGTCACAAAATGCCAAAAATGTGCTGCTATTGTATAATCAGTTTCATGAAATTTAGCATTATCTATGCCTTTGGCTCAGTTGGGAAGAATGTGGGCTGATTTAGAGCTATCCCAAACTTTTGGAGCTCTAGCTGCATTCTAGCAACACTTTGCATGGTGTTATAAACAAGACCAGTATAAGATAAACACACTTTGATGAGGCAATTATTACAAAACTCTGTGATATCAGAGAGGCTCGACCTAGCTCATGTTAAAAAATATATGGCATATATTTTTTGTGAAGTGCCGTATAGATTTCTGATAAATCTAGGTCCTCAGAACCAAAATTGTATATGTCCTACTGACTTTAAGATAGAGCATACCTGATGTACAGGAATCAGCTACTGAAACCTGCAGAAGCTGTACCCACAGTGCCACCTTATTTGCTGAACAAATAGTCAAAAAATGTCTCATATAACAGATACAAGTGGCTTTCCCCAGCAAAATATGATTCTGTCATCATAAAATAATTTTTCAAGATAAAAATTATTGTAAATCCAAATATTGATTTCAGTTATCCAAATATTGTAATCCTCTTTTTAGTTTTCCTCACAATCCAAAAGGTTATATTTGTAATCCCATTGAGATGTTACTGGAATCCCAATAAGTTAATTCCAATCTACCACCACCAATCCAACCCACGGCAAGAGTAAAGACACCAAGATATATTCTAAGTTCAGGGCAGCCAAGGGGCCCTAAATCCAATCCTCACAAGGACAGGTGGACAAAGGCCTTGATCCTAGGCCTCTCCCAGCATTTATTATCTTGTGTAGAAGCGGGGTGGCTCAGGGATGAGGGACAGTGGGGGAGGCGAGAATTGCAGGAGTAACTTGAGCTGGCTGGCCAGGTGCAAGACTGGCATCTCTGTAAGTCGCAGAGATAAAGATATGCAGAAGGATCAATCTACATAACCCAATTAAGGTAGCGGTGGGATTGTTTTGGGGGGCTATACTTCCATTTCTGACATGCAAACTCTTGTGCCCCCGGGGAGTCATGGCCTCCTATCTTGAGGCTGTGCCCGCTGACATTCCCGGAGCTGTTTGCTCTAACATCTCCAGTGCTCAGGCCTGTGCATGGAGAACACCATGCTAGGAAACAGGACTGTCTGTCGGCTATAGAGATTGCATAATAGCACCTCAGATAGCCTTATTTGCAATGCTCAGAGCCAATTGAAGAGAGAAGGAAATACCCTGCCAGCTTTTTACATATCAGTATAGGGAAATGAGTCTCCAAATAATCAAAGTCACAGTAATTGTTTTGGATTCAAAGGGAGTCACTGCAGTTGTCTCCCACAATAAATGAACTATATAGTGATTAGCCAACCTAACAAAAAAATTGAAAATGAACAACCTATGCAGATCAAGTTCTCAAACAACTGCAAATGTACCTGAATTAATCATTTGGTAAAGGCCCTTATAAAGTTATTCTTCATAAAAAATACATATTATGGAATTAAAAGCATTTACTTGATATAAAACAATAATCAAAAATAATACCAAACCAATAGTACATTTAGAAATACAGTAATGTCTCTTTCTTTGAACTAGCTGAGCATAGCTTCATATACAATAGTATCAAACATACAAAATAGTATAAAACCATTCAAGAGAATGAAAGTGTTACAGTGTTACAATAAAAGTGTTAGAACCAAATAACAGAAAAGCAACAATGGCTACTATATTATCTCAATGTCCATAAAAATTTTGTTTATATTATCACACATAATAAAACCCAGTAAGATACAACATGATAGAACCAATGGAAACAGAAGAACAAAAGCATGGTAGGACTTCCAAGGAAGATGATATTAAATCAGAACTGGCTATTATAATGTCATGTTTTCTTCAAAATAGCTGTTCATACCATCACAGATAATAAAATCAAACAAACCAGAATAAAACCATTTCAACTAATGAAAGAAAACATTATACGGCTTCAAAGCAATGTAATGGGGATTCATGATTACCATAAACTCTTATGTACTCTTACCATTTCTTACACTATGGAGACTATATGGTATTTATACATGTGAGTTTGATTCATTTCACTTATGAATATGGTCTCAAGCTGTGTCCGTTTATTTATAAATATCTCAATGTGATCATTCTTTATAGCTGAGTAGTACTCCATTGTATAGAAATACAACAACTTTTTTATCCATTCCTCAGTTGATGGACACTTAGTTTGTTTCCAAGATCTGGCTATTACAAACTGTGCTGCTATAAACATGGGTGCACATATATCACTGTGGTATGATGTTTTCAGTTCTTCTGGGAATATGCTTAGAAGTAGAATACCTGGAACAAATGGGATTTCCAATCTCAGCTTTTTGAGAAATCTCCAGACTGACCTCCACAATGGTTGCACCAGTCTATACTCCCACCAACAGTGCAGGAGAGTTCCTTTTTCCCCACAGCCTCTCCAGCATTTGTTGTTGGCAGTTTTCTTGATCCTGGCCATTCTTTCAGGAGTGAGGTAGAATCTCAGTGTGATTTTAATTTGCATTTCTCTAACAAATAATGATGATGAACATTTTTTCATGTATTTATTTGCCATTTGTATATCTTCATCTGAGAAGTATGTATTCATCTCAGATGCCCATTTTTGGATTGGGTCTTTGAATTTTGGGGGTCTGATTTTTTAAAATTCTTTATATGTTTTAGACAGAAGTCCTTTGTCTGAAGAACAGTTCACTAAGTTTTTTTTCCAGTTTGTGGGTTTTCTTTTTACTATGCTGGACATTTCTTTTGACATGCAGAAACTTTTTAATAAGATGTGATCCCAGCTATTGATTCTGGGAAGTATTTCCCGTGAGGTTTGATTCCTGTTCATGAATTCTCTACCTACCCTTATGTCTTCAAGATTTTTACCTAATTTGTCTTCCAACAGATTTAGTGTTTCTGTTTTAATATTCAGGTCTTTGATCCATTTACATTTTAGTTTAGTACATGGTGATAGACATGGGTCTAGTTTTAGTTTTTGACATATGGAGAGCCAGTTTTTCTATTTATTAAAGAGACTGTCGTTCTTCCAGTGAACCTGCTTGGCTCCTTTATCAAAGATAAGGTGGTTGAGTGTGTTTGTAGTTGTGGTTGTATCTTCTAATCTATTTTGTTGATCTTCAGATCTGTTTTTAATTCAGTCCCATGTTGATTTTATTACAGTTGCTTTGTAGTTTAACTTCAAGTCAGGGTTTATGATGCCTCCTGCCTGGCCTTTTGCTGCTTAGAATTTCTTTTGCTATTCTAGGTCTCTTCTGGTTCCAGATGAATTTTAGGAGTGATTTTTCTAGATCTATGCGGTATATTAATGGTATTTTCATTGGGATTTCATTGACTCTGTATAACAGTTTTGGGAGAATGGCCATTTTCACAATATTTATTCTTCCTATCCATGAACAAGGGATGTCTTTCCATTTTCTGAGATTATCTTCAATTTCTTTTTCAGACCATTATAATTTTCCTTGTATAATCTTTTATGAGATTAATTCCTAAGTATTTCATTTTTTTGGATGCTAGTGTGAAGGGTGTGGCTTCTCTTATTTCTCTGTCAGTGATTTTGTTGTTAGTGTATAGAAATGCTATTGATTTTTGAGTATTGATTTTGTATCCAGCTACATTGCTGAATTTATTTATTATATCTGGGAGTCTTTCAATGGAGTTTTGGGGGTCTTCTATGTAGAATATCATGTCATCTGCAAATAATGATAACTTAACTTCCTCTTTTCCTATCTTTAACCCTTTTATTTCTCTCTCTTGTCTAATTGCTCTGGCTAGTATTTCCAGTACAATCTTGAATATGAGCAGTGATAAGGGATATCCTTGTCTTGTGCCTGATTTTAAAGTAAAGGCCTTTAGTTTTTGGCCATTTAATATGATGCTGGCTGTTAGTCATAGATGGCCTTATCATATTGAGGTAAAGACCATCTCTTCCAATTTTCTGAAGGTTTCTTAGCATGAATGAGTGTTGGACCTTATCAAAAGCTTTTTTTGCATCTATAGAAATGATCATGTGATTCTTATTTTTGGCTCTATTGATATGGTGGATTACATGTATTGATATATGTATGTTGAACGATCCCTGCATTCCTGGGATGAATCCCACTTGGTCTTGGTGTATAATCTTCTTGATGATTTGCTCCATCCTGTTTGCCAATATTTTATTGAGGATTTTTGAATCTGTGTTCATTAGGGAGATTGGTCTATAGTTCTCTTTTTTAGTTGGGTCTTTCTCAGGTTTTAGTACTAGAGTAATATTTGCTTCCAGGAATGACTTAGGAAGAATTGCTTCCCTTTCAATTTCATTGAAGAGTTAGAGGAGTGTTGGCATTAATTCTTTGTATTTCTTGTAGAATTCTTCAGTGAATCTGTCTGGGCCTGGGCTCGTCTTTGTAGGTAAAGACTTAATTGCATTTTCAATTTCATCAATAGAAATTGGGTTAGACCCAGAATTGGTACTTCATATGCTTCTAGGAATCTGTTCATTTCATCTGTGTTATCGAATCTATGAGAGTAGAGGTTTTTGAAATAGGTTTTGATGATCTTCTGTATTTCCACAGAGTCTGTAGTGATTTCCCCTTTTTCAATCCTTATTGCATGAATTTGAGCTTTTTCTTCCCTTTTTTAAATAAGGTTGGCTAGGGGCTTATCAATTTTATTCATTCTTTCCAAGAACCAACTCTTTGATTCATTAATTCTTTGGATTGTTTTCTTAGTCTCTATTGCATTAATTTTTGCTCTGATTTTTATAATTTCCTCCCTTCTTTTGTCTTTGGGTTTGACTTGTGTTTCTTTTTCCAGATGTTTAAAGTGTAGCATCAAGTTGTTTATTTGTATTCATTCTGTTTTCCTGATGTGGGAACTCAGTGCAATGAATTTTCCTCTGAGGACCACTTTCATTGCATCCCACAGATTCTGGTAAGTTGTATTTGTATTTTTGTTTGATTGTAGGTATTGTTTAATTTCTTCTTTAATTTGCCCTGTAACCCACTGATTGCTCAAGAGTGTATTATTCAATTTCCATGTGGTTGTGGGGTTTTTGCAGGTTATCATTAATTTCTAGTTTCATGGCAATATGATCTGATAACATACATGGGATAATTTCAACTCTTTTGCATTTACTTAAATATGGTCTATGGGCTAGTATATAATCTATTTTAGAGAATGTCCCATGTACTGCTGAGAAGAATGTATATTCTGATGTTGGATGGAACACTCTGTATATGTCTATCATGTCCATTTCTTCACAGGTGTGATTCAGTTCTGCTATTTCTTTGCTGATTTTCTGCCTGGTTGATCTGTCCCTTAGTGTCAATGGTGTGTTAAGGTCTCCTGTTATAATTATGTTATTGCTTATTTGATGTTTCGTTTCTATTAATACTTGCTTTGTATAATTTGATGCTCTGGAATTTGGTGCATATATATTTAAGATTGCTATCTCTTCCTCTTGAAGTTTTGCCCTAAGTAGTAGGTGGTAACCTTCTTTATCTCTTAGGATCATTCTTGGTTTGCAGTTCACATTGTCTGTAAACAAATAGCTATCCCGCTTTTTTTTGGGGGGGGGTTCCTGTTGCATGAAGTATTCTTTTCCATCCTTTGACTTTCAATTTGTGAGTTTCTTTTTGGGTTAAATGGGTTTCTTGTAGACAGGATATGGTTGTTTCTTGATCCATTCTGCCAGTCTGTTTCTTTTAATTCGTGCATTGAGACCATTTACATTAATGGTTATAACTGTTATATGTTGGTTTATTGTTGATATGTTATCTTTCTGCTGTTGCATCTTTATCTTTCCATTCTGTTTAATTGTCTGCCTTAGTGGCTTTTCCCAATGTGTATTTTCCTATGTGTATCAAATATTCCTATGTGAATATTTGAGTATTCTTTGCAGGGTTGGTTTGGTGATCATGAAGTTCTTCAGCTGTTCTTTGTCATGGAAGTATCTTATTTCTCCATTGATTTTGAAGGACAGTTTTGTGGGGTACATCAGTCTAGTCTGGAAATCATTTTCCTTTAGGATCTGAAATAATTCACTCCATGCTCTTCTTTTTTTTTTTTTTGGTCTTTTTGAGACAGGGTCTCACTGTGCAGTTCAGGCTGGCCTTGAGCTCACTGTGTAGCCCAGGCTGGTCTCAAACTTGCAGAATCGTCTCCTATGCCCTCACTCCTTCCTCAGCCTCCGGAGTGCTGGGATTACAGGCATGAGCTACCACACCTGGCTCCATGCTCTTCTTGACTTTATTGTTTGTGCTGAGAAGTCTGCTGTGATTCTGATAGGCTTTCCTTTATAGGTGATCTGTCTTTTCTCTCTGACAGCTTTTAATATTCTGTTCTTATGTTGGATTTCTGGGATGGTGATTGTTACATGTCTCGGTGTAGTTTTATTTTGGTTTTGGCTATTTGGAGTTTTATACACTTCACTAATTCTAATGTCAGTTTCCATTCTCATGTTTGGGAAATTCTTAGCTATTACTTTTGTAAATAGCCTCTTGATATCATTTGTGTTGTCCCCTTCTTTTTCATTTATCCCTATCAATCTTATGTTGTTTTTTCTTCGCATCGTGTTGCAACTGTTGAATTGTTATTTTCTGATTCCTTGTTATTTTTAAAAGATCTTTCCTTTCCTGTTCACTAGCTGCAATCTTGTTTTTGAGGTCTGAAATTCTATCTTCACTTTTGTTGAGGCAGTTTTGACAGTGTTCAATGGAATGTTTGATTTGCTGTATATCTTTTTGAATTTGCTTCATGTCTTCTTTTTGTTTCTCATATTGTTCATCCAGGGATTCTATCTTTTTGTTTTGTCCTTCCAATTTTTTAACTGTGTCTTCTTTAGATGTGTTCAGCATCTCTTTCATTACTTTTATCATTTCTTCTTTTACCTGGGAGATTATTTCTAATTTGAATTCCTTTACAGCTTCCTGGAGTTGCTTCCGTATTTCTGTTGCTATTATGTCAGGCATTTCATGTTTATGGCATATATGTTTTTCTGTGTATGGCTCCTAGGCTTTCTTGGGATGGGATGGAAGTTTGTGCATTTTTTCTTTCATTTTTTTTCCATTTTCCTATATTTCCGTGTTTCAAGTGATGTTCCAAAGCTTCCCCTGGGCATGTTGGAAATCGTCTCCTATGCCCTCAGCTCCTGGGACTGAATGGAGGTTGCTGAGTGTGATCCAGTCAGGTCCACAGGCCTTCCCGTGCCACCTCCAGTGTTCCAGAAAGCTGGGCGGGCTCCTAACCACTGTGGATGATGGTCCAAAGTTCTCCCTGGGCAAGCAAGGATGTGCTGGAACTTACTTCTTCTGCCCTGATTGAAGAAGGTCACTGGGTGTGGTCTAGTTGGGCATAAAACCTCCCAAGCCTAGTCTTGTGTGGCTGGAATCTGGGCAGGTCCTTGACCACTGGGAGCGATGATCTTAAATTCCCCTGGGCTGGCGCTGATGTGCTGGACTCACCTTCAGCAGCCCAGTTCTCCTGATTGAAAGCAATATAGTGTTTTTTAAAGCTCTAGTGAGATACTAAAGTGTAGCTAAGCAACACATTAACATTTATACAACACAATTACAGTAAAAGTTTATACAAATGACTGATATGTAAGTACATGTAATTTCTGTAGGGCTTTAAGAAAATATTTGTCATGATTAATTCTACATTATATTTTTCTGAGGAATTTAATAGATATTTTATATCAAATGGTTCCAAAAGATTATAACATGTTATACTTTCATTTAATTACATCTTAAGAAATCTGTACTTTTCAATAAATCTGAGAAGTAGTAAAAGAACTTTCTTCTCCCTTAAGTCTTGGATGATCTCAATTTAATCTTCCAAAGATTCTGCTTTCATGTTTCTAGTGCTACATGCACAATTATTCATCAGTGGCTTCCCGTTTCTCACAGTAAGATTCTGTTTAATCTCAGTCTTTCTTTCTTTCTTTCTTTCTTTCTTTCTTTCTTTCTTTCTTTCTTTCTTTCTTTCTTTCTTTCTTTCCTTTCTTCTCTCTAGCACTGACAAGTTTATATTAAAAAGTAACAGTGACACATGAGGGAGAACCTGGCCCTGCAGAGCAAGCTTGGACGGAGAAAGCAAGTTAAAAGTACACCGTAGAGTGCCCAGGCGGGCTACCTGAGGAAAGCCTCAGTGGCCTAGGTTTGGGAAATGCCTTGACTGGCACTTTTGGTTTCTAACACAATCCTAAGGATTATATAATTTTTAAAATTATACGCATACATTAACATTGCCTTAATTGCCTGAATTTATTCTTAAAATGTTTTGCATCTACTGAAACAACTAAAGGCCAAGTTTACTGTTGCTTACATGTTTTTCAGTTTCTTACAAAGCTAACTGATCTTACCATACTAACATATATATGGGGAAAAAAATCAATATAAAAATAAAACAAAATATATGGAATCTGGAATTTTCTTCAAACTAGAGAAGCAATCCATTTACCATCATCAAGGCTTATTTTTCTCTTTTTTGTGATGAACGGATTTTTGCCTTTCGATGGAATGTTTCTGTGGGTTTTTTTTTGGTATCGAGGATGGAACTCACAACCTCACGCTTGCCTGGCAGCCGCTTATGCCGTTGAGCCAAATCCCCGGCCGTGGATGGAATGTTTTGAATATTCATTTCTCTTAAAACATATAGCTTTAAAAAAAGTAAAATCGGGGCTGGGGATTTAGCTCAGCGGCATAAGCGTCTGCCTTGCAAGCAGGCAGTCATGAGTTCGATCCCTGGTAACGACAAAAAAATAATAATAATAAAAAATAAGTAAAATCCAAGGCAACAAAATAAGCATGTTTTTCTTTTTCCATGTTAACCATTTATTAAGCACTGTCAGACACAATGGTGGTTGCTTTATGTCTACCTAGTTGTAATCAAATGTATCACAATTTTCATTTTACAGAAAAAACACTGAGGTTTAGGATAATCTGAAAATAATCTGAATACTCTGAAATTATCTGAAAAACTAGTAAGTGGCAATAATAGTTTGGCTAGTGAACTAACTGTAAAGCCTGTGTTCTTTCTACTGCCCTGTGCATGTGTGGTGCTTGGTTAGTGCGTCCCCTCAGTGGGGAACGCTGGGCCTTGCATTTCCTGACCGACAGCTTTAGGGAAGGGCAGAATAATACAGCGTCTCAGCATGTCTAGGAGCCTCCCCGGGGCTCCTCCCCTACACACGGTCACCCCGCAGTTAATTACTAAATTCATTTCCCTCTGACAGTTTTCATTTCAGTGTACACTAACTTGGAACATCTTTATCACTTATGTTTTGGTAGGTAGGGAAGGGAGCTAAGAAGTTTTGAACTTTGTGAAGTCCCAGGATAAAAACGATATCATGGAATAAATCAGTCCAACAATGAAAGTACATATACTGTATTCCCTTTCTACCCTGTAAAAATGTACATGTTGCACAAACGCATAAAACTGTATATTTACAGTCTTACTGCTGTACTGATGGGTGAATTTCAAGTGTCAGCTGTTTAGTTCTTTAAAGAAAGATCAATAGAAGGAAATTCCAGCGTGACAAGCGTTTTGATGGTTGCCGCTCTCACGGGATCCAGTTACACTGTGCTCTTCCCGGAAGGACGCGCCGGGCCTGCAGGTTTCACCCGGCGGTTACTCTGCAGGCTCAGCACTCACAGCAAGCAGTTCCCTGGGGAAAGCTATTCTTTTTCCCCTTCCCATTTTCTTCTTCTTAAAGAGTTTTAATATATCGTGCTGTTTAGTAACTTTAGTCTAGAGATTGCTATGCAGATTTAATGGGTGTTTTACGTTTAGTTGAGCAGAAGTATATTAGTATCCACTATCGACCTGCTCTAACCACGTATCTATGTGTTATATAATTATATTAAGGATAATAATGTGCACTCCTGTATCATTTCACTGTAAGTGTTTGAAATGTTTCCGTGAGCTAATTTATTTTTAATAATACTATCTTAGTGAGGGCCTGGGCGCCGTTTTCATTGGCACTGACTGCGTCATGTATGTATGTGTAATCCGATTTTAGCCTCAGCCGTTTTTCATGTTAAAGTCATTTCACCCGTTTCCTCATTTACAGTGTAAGAATCGGAATTCCCGTTCCAGTGTCCTTGAGTCTAACAGAAATTATAGGAACTGTTTTCCTGTACGTGCTGCAGGAGAGAGCAGGACTGCAGCCAGTATTCTAAGTGTACCTTGCTGCGCAAGGGAGGCGAACAGGAAGTGGAGGGCGTTTTTACAAATCATTGTTAATCAAGGGCCTAAGAACTAAGCACAGTAGGTTTTGAACATCTTTTCGCCAAAGCCTCTGGCTATTTCCCCCCCAAACCCACTCTTTAGTGGGACTGAAAGCGACCCTGGGGCCTACTCTGTGGTTCTGTACCGGCCTCAGTTTCTTCATTCACCTTTGATCCTTCAGTGGCCAGGTCCCCATACACAGTGGACACCAGGAGAGTCCGGTCAGAACCAAATTTAAAGTTCCTTCTCCACTCCAAAGACAAAAACCATTGTGCTTTCTCCTACAAGCGTTAAACGAGAATTGGGTCGAAGGTATTCTGCCTAAAAATCGAAAGGACACTGACATAAAGCTGGAGAAAGGGGGACCGCAGTTGACCTCCTGGTAGTTGCGCCTGGCCGGAGCCCAGGCTGGACCGACGGGCGGACGGCAGTGCCAGGCTTTCGCTCCTGAGGTGCAAATGAATGGTGTGAAGGGTTGGCCTTTTTTTTTGTTCCTTAAAATGCAACGAACAAAAAAAAAAGTACAACAATCCAAACCCAGCCATCTCCGGGCGCGTCGCCCAGCGAGGAGACGTCCGTCCCGGCGGCCCGGGCGCGCAGCGCTGCGGGAAGGAAGGTGCGCGCCGGCCCGGCCCGCCCCGCCCCGCCCGGCGGCCGCGTCGGGTGCAGGCTGCGCGGGGAGCGCGCGGGCGTCCGGGCGGGCGGCGCGGGGGCGGGGCCGGCGGCGCGGGGCGGGGCCGGCGCCCGACTCCATCTTGCGGCGGTGGCGAGCGCGTGCCGCGCGTCTCGGCGGCTGGAGGCTGCAGCGCGGGCCGCCCCGCGTGCTGGAGGTCGGAGACCACCCCGCGCCCGGCCCCTCTCGGGACAGGGAGGTGGCAGCGGGGGTGGGTCCGGTGCGCGGGGACCTGCGGGGCTGGGGCTGCCGGAAGGCGCGGGGAGGAGCGGCGCGGGGTGGACGCCCGGCCCGGCCGGCGGGCTGCAGGTGCCGCGGGAGGGCGCCCTGGCCGGGCGGCTCAGCACAAAGCGCCCCGGCCGCTCCCCGCGGGCTGCCTAGCCCGCCACTGCTTCTGGCGGGCTCTCTTTGTCAGTCGATTGAAAAAATTGAGGATCAAGAGTGCAGATCCTCGGTAGATAAGCGCGTAACACTCTCTTCTCTTTTTCCTGCAGCATCCACAAGTTTGCTAGTACGTAAAAAACAACCCAATTGCCTTGTCCTGGGAAGTAGCAATCCTGCCAAATACACCTGCTTGCCGGGGACAGAGGTAAACAATTTTTTCTTTGTGATATCCTCATATTTTAAGACAACCCAATTTTGTTAGGCCCAGAGCCTTTCGGAATTGCACTGTGTGTAAAATATATATTTCCCCTCTCTTTCTTTCGTTGGTGGTCTTTGTTCCTATCGTATTGTCAGAACTCAGAAAAAACAATTTATACTTGGCAGTCTTTTATGTGGTAGTTATTGGAAATTATTGTATCTAGATATTTACCTTGGAAAGGAAAAGAGGCTTTTACAGTATTTTTTTTTTTCCCTCTCGTGCCTGGTGAATTGTCAGGCTGCTGGGGCTTGTATAACAGGGTTACATTTTAGTGATTGTACAGATCTTTATATATATTTGGCGTTTTAAAAGCAGAATCTCATTGATATAGACACTCCTGCCAGTAGAACTTAGAGCTATTAACTGCTTGTATTTCTCTATTGCACAACCAAAAGATACATTATTATTTTTAAAAATTTGTTTGGTACAGGGATTGAATCCAGGGCCTTTCACATGCTAGGCAAGTGCTCTACCATTGACTTGAACCCCCCACCCCCAGAAGATAGCATTTCTTCAGTCTCCTGTCCTTCCCTAAAAAATACTTTTTGTGGAGGAGGAGGTACAATCTGACTTTTTAAACCTCCCTGCTAAGACTTTCCTTAATGTTAAACTGTTCTTTTCCTCGTGTACATTTCTGATAGGTTATCTGGCTGGCCTCCTTGCCCTTGGTTTTGTTTAGATATGATATACTTTGTAACATTTGCATTGGCTTTCCTCGAAATTACTGTTCAAATCTAAGTCTGTTTTAAGACCCTTTCTTGGTTAATACCTTCAACCTTGTATACCTAAAATGAGTATTTATAGTTTTACGTGTAATTGAAAACCTTACACTTACATAGTTTAGCAATTTACAAAATTCTCAAACAGTATGAGGAAGTTAGTATTAAAAAAACTCCTTATTGCATGAAGGGTAAATGGTGCTTGAATCCAGGTGCATATTCAGAAGTAGGTTTTGTGTTCTTTCTCCTTCCCTGGAGTGTGTCTTACTGCCTAATTTGTTAAAAAATAACAGTAATCATAATCATTTGGAAGAGCTGTGATTAAACTTCATTTTATGAATGAGGATACTTGATTTGTTTTTTAGATGCTGGAGACTGAGGCCAGGACCTTGAGCATAGGAAATAAAATGCTCTCCCACTCCTGCCCTTTAGAATACTGATTTGTACAGGGCTGAGGTGCAAGAATTGGAGAACTCAGGTTCTGTACTAACGATGTACAATTCAGAGGCCAGTATTTTTAAAGTTAGGTGTTGAGCTAGATGAATTCAAGTACAGCATTTTATTTTATTTCATTCCTTCCCTTTTTATCACCATCTTTTCTCAAGATATATATGTAGGTAATGCACAGATGCAGGCTAATACTAACTGCCTTAAACTGTTTTATATTTTAAACTCAGTTAGTATGGTATCGAGGGTCTTGCTCCTTGTTTTTTCCTAAGCGTCATAAAAGTATGTTGTAAGATGAAGATCTGGGGTGCTCATAATGACTGATTTTTTTTTTTCTTTTTTTGGCCTTTTTCCTTTTTATCAGGTACCGGGGATCGAACTCACGACTGCCTGCTTGCAAGGCAGGCGCTTATGCAGCTGAGCTAAACCTCCAGCCCGTTTTTTCTTTTTTAAAATCAAACATTGGCTGGGGATTTAGCTCAGTGGTTTAAGTGCCTGGCAAGTGTGAGGTGGTGAGTTCGATCTCAGGTGCCAAAAAAAAAAAAACATTGTTCTAAGTTACTAGGCTTTTGGCTTAGAGTTTAGCATAATTTAAGACAGTATGTCTATAAAATAAGTATTTGCTGTTACCTAAAACTTAGGTACTTTTGAAAGTCTTAAATTTGAGGATGTGTTAAGGGAAAGAAGTTTGATTTAAATCTCTGTAAAGGGTTGTGGATGTGGCACGGTGGTTGAGTGCTTGCCCGAGCATTGCTTAAGGCCCTGGGGGGAAATCCTAAGCCACAACACCCTTTTCTTTTTCTTTGCTAATATGAATTGAAAATTTCTGGGGTAATACTCTCAAAAACTATATAGTCAACAACTAGTGGAATATGCAGAGTGATGAGAATCCTTTTTTAGTTTTTTAATAGGTGTTGTTATGGTTTGTATCTGGATGTCCCCTCCCACAACCCTCATGTGGTCATAGGTGGGGTTTTTGGAGGTGGCTGGATATGGGGGTGTGAATGTGGGTTAAGGATGTGATACTGGGATGACGGGTGGGTGGTACTAAACTAGTCCACTGATTGGAATTAGCAGGGTTCTGAGTGAGGCCGAATGGGTTTACCGAAGACAGAAGCCCCACTCTAGGTGAGGGTGGCACCCCCAGAAGTTTGTAGTAGCTGGGATGAGGAAAGGGAAGGCAGGCTTGCTGCTTGCCGGTGCGGCTTGCTGCTCTGCTGGCTCCTACGGGTATGCCCTGGACCGTTACTTCTGAGATGCCCTTTGCCTTGGAACCAGCCAGCCGGCTGTGGACTCAGACCTCTGAAACTGAACTTAAGTAAATCTTGCCTCCTTTGACTTGTGGATGTCAGGTATTTTGTTTCAGGAACAAGAAAAGTAACCAATACAGATGGTCTGTAGGATATTAACTTTTCTTTAAGGGTGAATGAATAACGGGGCAGTGTAGCACATAGCTGTAATCCTACCATTGCTGTGACTGAACTGCTCAGGAGGCTGAGGCAAGGGGATTGCAAGTTCAAGGTCAGCCTGGATTACATATAAAGACCTTGACTCAAAAAAACCCACAAACACCTTTTATAGTACATTTCTTTTTAGTCGGTTGGTTTATTGCTTTTGTTTTTGGTATCAGGGATCAACTCACAACTTTTGTGCTTGCCAGGCAGGCGCTTATACTGCTGAGCTAAATTTCTGGCTCAGTTGTTTAAAAATAAAATTGTGCCAGGTGTGATGGCACACACCTGTAATCCACCACTTTGGAGATGGTGGCAGGAGGATCACCACAAATTAAAGTAGGCTGGGCTACATAGTGAGATCATTTATGACTTGTTTCCTGTGTATTACTGGTTTTTTGCATTTTTCATGTCTTGGTGGTTATATTTATAGGAGTTGTTCAATATTTCAGTATAGAATTAATAATTTTTTTGTAGTCTTTCTGGCTGGATAGCTTGGTAGTTGGTTTAAAAATTTCTGGTAATGGGAGAAACGTGGTAGGAACATGAGGCTGATTTCAGAGATGCTAGAAACCTGATACATGTTCAGCTGTAAAACAGCTGAGAAACTCTTACTCGGAATATTAGTGTGCTTCACAATTTGTACGTTTTGGGTATTTAGAAATATTCAAAGGAAGAAGTTACTCTTGGAGGAACGTTTGACTGTCATACAGGTAACTTGACATTAATTTGCGATTTTAACAAACAGTAGTTGTGTTTGTTTACATGTAAGTGGGAGATAGCTAAAAGTAAGAACTGGAGAGGATATATGTTTCACATTAGAAATCTGTTAATGAAGTAAACTGTTGATTTCTTCAGATTGTAGGTTTTAGCCATATTTTAAGAAACTACTGTGATGAATGTTCTTTACTTACGAGACTGAAGATCTTTTTTTTTTTTTTTTTTTCACATATTTTCCTTTAAAACTTGATATGGCAAAACCTGCCTGGTTTCTTGGGTCAGGCTGCTGTCTCAGTTTTCTCTAAAAGAGTTAATGATGGAAGTGTAATATAATTTTGTCCTAGGGAAAGTTTGAGTATAAGGAGACAGAAAGCTAAGGAAGAAAAAAAAAGTATGTCTTTTAAAGTGAATGAAAATAAGCATCTTAAATTATAAACCAAAATTTGTAAGCAGTATCACTAAAAATGGAACAGGTGATCTATTGTAATTTTGAAGCATTTTAAAAAAGAGACTTCAAGTAGTGTTTTTCCTCTGAGGTTCATTTTAAGAGCTGTAACTTGATTATGACTTTGGGATGATTATTACTTCTAACTTGTTTTGTGTGGGACATTTTCCCTTTTGCTTTTGGTCGTATTTGGTTGCCTAAATTTCTTTTTGTCCCTGTTAAGGGTATCCTCCATGTTCTTCAAAGATTTTCTTTGCCTTGGATGGGCCTTTTACTTAAGCATGATTTATAAATAAGCATTATGACTTGAAAAATTACTAGTTCATTATATTATACAAATCTCTAAATATTGAGCTACCTCATTAAATGGCCTTCACATTCAGTAATATTACCACCTATCTCAGTCTTTAATTAAAGTGGAACGCTGTCAAGCTTACAGTGGCAGATATTTTCCAAAATTCTAATTTTCATATAAAACCCAACGTTTTTCATTATTTTTTCAAAAAATACTGTCATTTTTTCCCTCTTGGAGTAACACAACTCATTTTGTTCATTTTCAAAAAAATGACTGTCAGTTAACCTAAATCTGAATAGATCCAGTTTGTCTTTTGTGCCTCCAAGTAAAAATGATTCCATAAAAAAGGCAGCTGGTTTACCTTGCAGCTCAGTAGCGTGAGTGCTTTGCTCCAGATACCATCTGCTGGTAGGCAGAAGTGCTTTTGTGAGTACTTCTTGTCAGACAAAATACTAAAAAGATACGTAGACAAGCGTCAAGACTTTAACAGAATGAGCAGTGTCTGCTGCTTTATCAAGGATATTTGAAAATAAAAGTGAAACCTCTCACCCCATGCGTTGTGGTGCACAGTGAGGAGCACAGTGGCTGCTGGCACAGTTCGCTGCTGCTGACCGCTTTGCCCGATTCCTGTGCCGCCTCCAACAGTATCTGCCCACCAGCGCTTCTGCAGTGTGAATGCAGACGTGAGCAGGCTACAAAACGACTGTGATTTTGTGGATTCCCTAAAGGCAGACAATCAGGTTTCTAACCATTACATTTTGAGAACTGATGCTACAAGATGGCTTTGTTATTCCGATAGTTTAATAAAACACAACCAAAAAATTCATTTAACTTTCTAGGCAAGAGTAAATTGGAATTCTCACGCTTTTAAAAATGATTTTAATAGTTGTGATCTTTAAGATAGAAAAAACATGCCAAATCCTGGTAAGTTTACATGAGAATACATGCCTAGCTTTATATTTCTGTCTCTTTTAAATAGCATACCATTTTACATTTGTGGGCCCACAGTAAAGAACTCATTCTATTACAAACACTGAGTAGCTTTGTTTCTGACAGCTAGTAGTCAGCTCTCTGTTTTGAAACAATCAGTTGGGTCCTGCTGGTTCAACTTGCACTTGTCCTAGTTTTAACTCTGTCTTAGCCAAAGCCTGCTATTGGGAAGTTCGCACGGTGGCCCTCTGCTCCTGCTCATTAATCCTGCTGTGCTGTGCATTCCCTTCCCACAGCCCTCACGTCCTTTGTTTGGCTGGTATTTCACATCATTTAAGGTGAAGTTCGCTGCTTATTACTATACAGTGCTACTAGAGGGGATCCTGGAATAAAATGTGTTTTCTCTGTTAGGATGTGATGGAGCTGCTCGAAGAAGACCTCACGTGTCCAATTTGCTGCAGTCTGTTTGATGATCCTCGAGTTTTGCCTTGCTCACACAACTTCTGCAAAAAATGCTTAGAAGGTCTCCTAGAAGGGAATGTGCGCAATTCTTTATGGAGACCAGCTCCATTCAAGTGCCCAACATGTCGGAAAGAAACTTCAGCTACTGGAGTTAATAGCCTGCAGGTTAATTACTCCCTGAAGGGTATTGTGGAGAAGTACAACAAAATCAAGATCTCTCCCAAAATGCCAGTGTGTAAAGGACACTTGGGGCAGCCTCTCAACATTTTCTGCCTAACTGATATGCAGCTGATTTGTGGGATCTGTGCTACTCGTGGTGACCACACCAAGCATGTCTTCTGTTCTATTGAAGATGCCTATGTTCAGGAGAGGGATGCCTTTGAGTCCCTCTTCCAGAGTTTTGAGACCTGGCGTCGGGGAGATGCTCTTTCTCGCTTGGATACTTTGGAAACTAGCAAGAGGAAATCCCTACAGCTACTGACTAAAGATTCTGATAAAGTCAAGGAGTTTTTTGAGAAATTACAACACACATTAGATCAAAAGAAAAATGAAATCCTGTCTGACTTTGAGACCATGAAACTTGCAGTTATGCAGGCCTATGACCCAGAGATCAATAAGCTCAATACAATCTTACAGGAGCAACGAATGGCCTTTAATATTGCTGAGGCTTTCAAAGATGTGTCAGAACCCATCATATTTCTACAACAGATGCAGGAGTTCAGGGAGAAAATCAAAGTAATCAAGGAGACTCCTTTACCTCCCTCTAATTTGCCCACAAGCCCTTTTATGAAGAACTTTGATACCAGTCAGTGGGAGGATATTAAATTAATAGATGTGGACAAACTTGCTTTGCCTCAGGACACTGGTACACTGATTAGCAAGATACCCTGGAGCTTCTATCTGTTGCTTGTGGTCATCCTTTTGCTTGGCCTCCTCACTTTCTTTGGTCCTGCCATGTTCCTGGAATGGTCTCTATTTGATGAATTGGCAACTTGGAAAGACCATTTTTCAAACTTTACTTCTTGTCTGACTAAAGCAGCTGATTTTATGGAACAGTCGGTTTTTTACTGGGAACAAATGATAGATGGGTTTCTCATTTTCAGTGCAAGAGTCAAGAGTTTTACTTTGGTGGTGCTGAACAATGTGGCAGAATTTGTGTGCAAATATAAACTATTATAAAATCTCAACCATGTAGTGTTCTGCTTTTTGATAGACATTGTTAGAGATCAGAGTAGTGGTTCAGAATTTGGAAAACAGTCCAGATAGGTATTTTTCTCCAAAAATATTCCCTTCAAAAATAATGTTTGATACTCAATACACATTGTTTATATTCAGTAGCATAAAAATACAGTATCACAGACATGAACTTTTTCCTTTCTAAAGAGTGCTTTTAAATTAAATACCCCCTATTCCATATTGGCTATGTTTAGATAAAAATTGGAGGTGGGGAGAGAGAGGAGGTTAGCATGCCTGTGGCTTCAGCCACTGGGGAGGCTAAGGATCTCTAGAGCTCGGGAGCTCAGGACCAACGTGGGTAAGCCTGTCACAGAACATACCAGACAGAACGGGAGGTGAGAGAATACCTGATTTAAATTGATGAAGGCCTTCAAGCATGCAGTGAAGTCTTGTAAAGCAATTTTCTCAGACAGTGAACATTCTTTTAAAAAAGACAATAGATTGGATTTCGAAGGTTTTCTAGAGGTTGACTCCTTTCTCACCGAAAAGTAAATTTTTCTTTTTTTTTCCCCTTGGTCTTTTTCTTTTTTATTGGTCCCAGGGATCGAACTCACGACCACACACTTGCAAGGCAGGCGCGCTTATGACGCTGAGCTAAATCGCCAGCCTCTGAAAAGTAAATTTTATGTAGACAGAAATCTCACATTTTTTCTGGTCCGTTTACATTTTTAGGAGGGTAGTGGTTTAAGCCTACCCTTTGCTCCTTTGTTTAATTTTCACTAAAGGTGATAAATTGCTTAAGTGTTGAGTGGCTATGTGAAGAGAGAATTTTTTTAAAAGAGATCCAACACCTGTGAGCAGGAAATGGGAAAGGTACCTTTACTGTAGCTAAGCATGATTCTGTTCTAAAGTGTCAGCAACCTTACAACCAAACCAGTCCACTTACAAAATTCCAGGTGTAGTAAGGTTAATTTGACAGTGGGTCATGAAACAGTCTTATCTATTAATAAAGTACTAACCAGTGAACACTAATTACTGTCCTGTCTGCTCACAGATTTAAGATGCCTACGGTATAAAAATATTTAATTTTCTAAACTTGCTTAGAATTAAGATGAAAAAGCAGTCTTAGGAATTGCTTTATTTCTGTCATGGAAATGAATTCCTTTTGAAAGCCCATTAAGTGGAGTAGAATTTCACAGAATAGAATGTCTAATTTAGTTGAGTAGAAAAGGTAAGCAGGAGGAGGTGGGGAACGGTAAATACAAAGTACAGGAGAAATAATTTCCTTCTAGCTATGAGAAGTGAAGAGGAAACTGGTAGGTAAGATACAGGCTGCCTCATTCCTAACAGATTACTTGTGGCTAGTCACCAGAGTTGTTAAGGGAACGAAATCCAGACAGTTTCTCTGTAAATCTTAGGTCTGCAATGAAGGTTCATAGTAAATAAGTCTGAGGAGGGGAAATGCTTTTCTCCCAGTAATTTTTTTTCCAATACAAGATTTACACCTGGACCAGGACACCGTGGAGATTTCATTTTTGGCAGTGCTGAGCATTGACACAGGCGCTCACACATGGCAAGCAAGAGTCCTACCATCGTGCCGCACCCCAGCCCAAGCAGATGGTAAAGTCTTCAGAAAACTGGCAGTTTCCTAGTTAAACTAGTTTCGTATGTTGGTTTCTGGTTTTGTATCTTAAAGTTCCCAGGCTACTCCAGCTTGCAAACAGCTATGGATATACTGTCTGTCTTGCAGTGGTTGCCCTGCAGCCAGTTCTTCAGGTTTCATTATTCTCTGCTCTCCATATCTTAGGCATATAAACCTGCAACATTCACGGTAATTGGTCTGTAGCTTCTAGTTTAAAACTAGGGAAGAATGAGTTGTCAGGAACTGGACACTGTGAACGAGGGAGGGAAGATCAGCACAGCAAAGCTTTCTACCATAAATCAGCTTCCCCCCTCAGCTGGCACATACGGTAGGTGGCAGAGATCAGGAGTTCAGGGTGGTTGGTGGTCAGATTTTTGTGGTCAGACATGGTGTTTTATTTAGTTTCATCTTAGGTTTTTTGTGAACTCACCAACTTTATTACCCTCTGATTCTCAGGTTAGTTTAGGCTTCCGAGAAGCTCTTTTCTATGAACTCGGCACTTCGGTTGAACTCCTAAACCAGCACCTGCCGAGGCGGAGACCTGCTGTCTTGGAGGTGCATTTCCTAAGCTGAAACACTCAAGGTTTTGTAGAATGTTTGGCTTTTGCAGAAAAACAGCTGAGATGCTAAGTGGAAGGATCACAGTGTTTGTAGAGCAACCTGCAGTGCGGACCTGGAGGAGTAACTCCCTCCTGGGGTGACCCTCCTGCTGCCTCCACGAAGACCTTGCCATGACCTTGTTCTCCACCGTTGGCTGACAGCACTGCTGAGAACCCAACTGGAATCAGGGGTTTAGTACTTTGAACAATGTTTTTACTATTCCAGTTTCTGCTGTTTTGCCTCATAACTAAAAGTTCCTCGTGCTGAAAACTTTTTTGGAAAAAGTGTTTATTCACATTAATGTTTTAGGGTAACGTGAAGCTGGATTAGAATGACTAAGTATTTCCTAAACCTGGACGTTTTTCGGAACGGGAACAGTAGGAATTACGTGGGACAATGGGCATAAACCAAGGCTGCCTAGCGGAAACGAACTGTGGTTGCCCAGGTAGTAGTAATTCGATGGATTTTATTCTGTTTCTAATGATTTCATTTAGAAATAAATTTTTTTCAGAGATTATTGCTTTTTTTATAGGAATAGCTCTGTTTCTCCTGATTTCCTTATGCACACCAGTGCGTACAATTTGAACTTTGATTTTTCTTCAGTGGAGAAAAGTATTTTTAAACATCCTTAGAGGCACGTGTTATTACTAGGCAAATGTAGTGTCCCGTTACATTCTTAGCTTTTAACTCAGAACGTCAGGCAGGCGGTCAGTAAGTAAGATAGCTGTCCCTGAGTCTGTAGCTCACTTTCTCCCCGAGGGCCTTGGCTGGATCCCAGCGGATTTCCAGCCTGCAGACCTGAGCGCCTCCCCCACCCCCATGAAAATGTCTTAAGGCTGGTCTACCATTAACTTACCAGCTGTGAAAAAAAGCCTGCATGTGTTTGATACTCATTTACAATAAAACAAAAAATCGCTAAATGAGCAGTGACCTTCACAAAGGATGCCAGTGTCTACCTTTCTTGTAATATACCTCACGTAGTCACGTTTACCACATAAGAGAACACTGGGCAGTATGACCGGACACATAGTTTACACTTACTGAAGTATCCTTTTACAGAGGTTGAAGTGGAAATTTTCCCATTTTGGGAAATGGGAGCCAAATTAATAGGCTGATTGTGAAGAAAAATCTAAGACCTGATTGTTTCCCCAAACTAGTTTTTTTGTTTTATTTTTATGTTGTTGTTGTTACCCCATATCAAACTCATGCCCTTGTACCTGCCAGGCAAGCGCTTGTGCCACTAAGCCAAATCCTGGGCCCTTCCCAAACTGTTCTAACTCTGCACTACTTACATTCATTAATAGGATACTTAAAGAAAAACAACGCAATTATTTGGTTTTTAAAATTTGGTGAAGAATCAGGCATAATGCTGTACAAGAGTAATCTCAACATTTAGGCAAGTTCAAGGTCAGCCTTGGCTAGACTGTCTTAAAAGACAAAAAGGTAAAACAGTAGTGACCTCTTTTGAGATCCCTTTTCAAAGAGTTAGAACCCCAAAAGAAAGTAGTGTCACTGATTTTAAAGAGAAAAATTGTATGTTAAAAAAATACCTTAGAACTTAGAAATGTAATTCCTTGTGTTTAAAACAAACACACAAACAAACAAACAAACAAACAAAAACCTTAGAACTAAGCGCTCTTTAAAAATTGCACTTGGAAGGGGCAAGGATTTAGCTCTGCAGCACAAGCTCCTGCCTGGCAAGCATGTGAGGTCATGAGTTCAATCCTTGGTACAAAAAAAAAATTGCTTTTGGAGACAGTAATGTGTGTGTGTGTGTGTGTGTGTGTGTGTGTGTGTGTGTGTGTGTGTTTTCAAACCTAGGCCTGCTAGGAAAGCAGTCTACCACTGAACTACATCTGTTGCTCTAATAGTAATTTTTTCCCTAATAGTAATTTTGAAAAGCAGCATTAGAAACTGAAATTGGACTATTATTGGGTGTACACAATGTCAAATGCTTATGTTATAGAAAGATTGTTAAATTGTGAGAAAGGCATATTTGTACTTTCACAACAGATAATTCCAAAACCAGAAGCTGTTTTTATTTTTGCAGCACCATATGGTATTCTTTTCAGTTGTTCTAAGAGCAGATTTTTTTTCATTCTGTGTCTATAATTTTTTATATTGTGCTAGTTTCAATCTGAATAAAGTGACATTATGGGGATCTAGGGTGATTAGATGAAAATTTTGGCTTTAAAAGGCCCATTGTTGAGTGTGGAACAGCCTAATTAGCAAACATTTTTGAGTTTTGCTCATGCCCTGGTCTGAATCTATTCATGTTTCTTCAAGTGGAGTAAGCCTGAAGGGGTCCTCATCCTGTGTTATCATCTAAATAGTTCACTATGCCAACCTGACTTATACCTTGGAAGTTGCTTATTTATTATCATTTAAGTTCACAGTGCAAGAAATACGGGCCTGGATCTTTCAGGTGGCCACTTACGCTATAGCATGTTAGCAAGCAAGGTCACAGTTACATGCTTTAGAGTCTGTTTGGTAGTCTTTGTTGCCCCTCCCTTTTAAAACTGGATCAAAAGGAAAAAGACAGTTGCCTTTAAAATTTTTAAAATAAAGGGCTGATGATACAGCTCAGTGGTAGAAGGCCTGCCTGCGACGCGCCAGGACCAAGTTCAGTCTCCAGCGTGCCTGTTTCATTTAGTCCATTCTTTTTGGTGCCTTGGAATCTTCTTGTTCAGTTCAGCTTCACAGGGGAATCGATGTACTTTCTTCTAAGGACATTCTACTTTGTTACTGCTATGTACTATTTGTATATTCTTTTGTGATACTCTATAATACTCTGACAAGTGTATCTAGGCTATATAATCAAGATCTGGGTCTTGGGAATAAATAAAATGATTTATTAATGTTAAAAATTTATTATACCAAACATAATAAAACTTTTTGGCAATATGCTTTGTAGTTTGATGATTCTTAGATGTTATTACTGAACTGTTCTCTTTATCAAGATGGGTTTCTAAATGTGTGCCTCATGACTGCTCCATTGTAGGGATAATCTTAAAAAGGAAATGTTCCAAGCAGCTTTTTGCCCTTTAAACTAATTTAAATGAGCCTTTTCCCACATTTCATAAATAGTGGGAGGATACAGATAACATCCTTGAAGGCAGATAAGGAAGAAGTTAATATATGCAGTATATTATGCATGTATGCAGTTATGTTGACAGTAAACCCAACATACAGTCAGTCTAAAAAAGTTCAGGAATATTTTCCCTGAATTATATGCATTAATTCTGTGGAGTTGCCAAGGGAATGAAAGTCTTTGGTTTTGTTTTTTGCTATTTCCACTCCAGAGGCTTTTTAGCCCCAAGTTTTGCTCTTTGACAATGTTGAATAAAATCACACTAAAATCTTTTTGACGTATTTGCAAAATTTCACTTGCAAAGTGGGTTTGGCAGAAATAAGTCCCCAAAAAATTTATAATGTTAGTGCAAACAACTGGTTAAAATCAGATATATGGGGACTATTGTAAATGTACAAAGTATATTCATTAATGTAATTGATTAAATCAATTAATTTGATCAATTAAATTGATTAATAGTAAATAAAAAATTGAAATACTGCCTTGATGTACTTTAAAACTTTGTTGTAGTATTTTTCTTTTTAATCTATGAATAATATGGATTTGAAAAAATAAAAAATTAAAATATTGGAAACAGTTGTTACAATACACAAAAAATTAGGACAACTTAGTTCGATCAAATTATTTGCTCTGAAACATAATTTCTCATTGTATCAATGTTGATTACATTCCTAAATGTGAAATTGAAATGACTGGAAATTGTATGAAGTCTTCAATTTTCAGTATTCTAAGTTATTGATTTGGATTTGTAAATGAAGTCTCAAACAATTTGCTTGAAAATAGTGTCTTTGGTGCAGGTTAGAAGTAAATTTATGCATAGTTTGTGTTATTAAAGTGATGCTTCATAATTAATCTTTTTATGTGTGTCCCCAGATGTTTTTTTTTCGTATGTATGTATGTATGTATGTATGTATTTATTTATTTTTTGCAGTACTGGGGATTGAATTTAGGACCTCGCGCTTGCCAGGCAGGCGCTTATGCCACTGAGCTAAATCCCTGGCCCCTCCAGATGTTTCTATAAAACCTGATAATCAAAAATTGGTCAGTGGTACAGATGTCACTGGCTCACTGATTGATACTTTGTTAACAGAAAGTTTTCATCTTGTCAGTACTAAAACAGTATCCTCTGAAGACAAAAGTGAATGCTACAGCTTTTCACAGATAAAAAGCCCTGGAGCCCTGGCCATGAATAAAAGAAGAAAATCAGAGACTGCCATCAAGCCAGAGGAACCTAAGCAAAAGAAATGCAGTCAGTTCCCTCTTAAAGGGAAAATGCCATTTTCTTGTTTGAAAATCCTGTACTTAGAGCCTATATGTTAGTAAAATCTGTACTCTGCTCAACTTTTTGTCCTGATCTCCTATTATGCCATTTCTGGGCAACTAGGTCCTAACAGTGCCTAAGCCACATCGAATTGCCTGCTGCTCTCAGAAAACACTATATACTTAGTGCTTTGGCATATGTTCCTTCAACATTCAGTGCCTGTTTTTCTTTTTTTCATGACCACACTGCTTTCAAAAATGGACTCTAGAGTCAGATTGCTTATTTTTAATTCCTGCTCATTTATTAGTTATGTGATTTAGACAAGTCACTTAACCTCTTTGGGCTTCAACATATTCACCTACTAATTAGGAATGGTAAAGATCTCTTTCATAAGGTGTATAGGGATTAAAGGACGTACGTGGTCAGTACACTGCCTGGCACGTGGTGGACACTCAGGACCGCTGGTGACGAGGAGGATGCAAACAGACGAGCACTAACAGCATCTCTGTGCGGCTTCCTTTTCTTCCTTTCTTGGGCACAATAACTTTTCCTGTGGTGCTGGGGACTGAAGCCAGGGCCTCGCCATGCCCACACATACTGTATACCCATACCCTCGGAACCCTATGCTCCCTCAAAACCACAATTTTCTTGAATGTAAGCACCAAAAGGTTTTAATACTACTATGTGTAAAGTACTGTGCTAAACACTTGGTGACAGCAATAATAATTTTTTTGATCTAGTCAGTACCCACATTTGGTGAAAAGCTTTTGAATAGCCTCTGCCAACATCTAAAATACATATTCTTTGACTTAGTAGTTTCTCTTCTAGGTGTTAAATATGTGTCATTTTAAATACTAGGAAAAACACCTAGAAAAGTAATCACTAAGTCAAAGAGCATTTAGTGCTTTGCAGAGTAAAAAGTTGAATGAAAGCACTTGATATCATTTAAAAGTAAATAATTTATTTCAAAAAATTGGATGTTAATTCTTCAGAATTATAAAAAGATTAAGACAAAAATCCTTATTGTGGAGTAGCTTATATTCAAATAAAAGATGCATTATCATAATAGCAAAAAATTAAAAATAAACTCAGTTCCACATGAAATGAGTAACTTAGGCTTCAGATAATTATTATGCAGTCCATCAAAGGAGGCAGAGTTTATAAGCTACTAAGGAAGGATAGTCAAAATATGTTAGTAGTGGGGTAAAAAGCCCAGTAAAAAGTACAAAACTGCATCAAGTGGAAAAATGAAGGTACAGTTTCTATTTATGGAAAAATATACAAACATTGAAAAATCAGTGCAGAACATTCAGCAGTGATGGGAGCTGGCTGTGGAGAGGGAATTGGGTGAGTGAGGCTTAGATGTGGGAGGACCATTTCCTTTTCCTGAAACAACGTGGATGTACACCTGTTTTTTAAAAAGCCACAGCTGAAAGACTGCCTGTGGCGGGAAGGAGGGCGGCTAGTACGGCCCAGTGTGACCTACCGCCTGTCACAGCCACGCAGATCTTACTCCCCCACCCCTCCTGTGAAATACTTCCACTTAATGATTAAGTTGAAATTTCTAGTGGTTACTTAAAGACTTTCGTGTTCTAGGTTGGCAAAAATAGATTTAAAATTGAAATGCTGTAAGAAAACATTTGTTTTGTTTTTAGCAGCTTAATCTTTTCTTTCTGCTGCAAAGCCAAATTGGTGGTTTTAATTTTGGGGATGCGGTATTTGGTCCAGTTCCCTTGATGACATTATGCCCTAGATTACAGTATTTCTACTCTGATAAATATTTGCCATGTATGTGATTTAACTAGTTGAATAAATTGGCAAAGTTTTTTTATTTTATTTTATTTATCAGTGTCAGGGATCGAACTCACGACTGCCTGCTTTCAAGGCAGGTGCTTATGTCGCTGAACTAAACCCCCAGCCCCATAAATTGGCAAAGTTTAACATATAACACTTTTATTCTGTAGAGTGCTTTGCTGATAAGACCACTAAAAACTGCTAGGTGGCTAAAATATAATGAATCAAACAATGGTGTACATTCAATCTGGCAAGAAACAATATAGGAATTGTTTAAACTGATATTAATGCATTCTTAGTCATTCACATTTACAGGAAACAATTTTGAGATTAGAAATAAAATGTTCTTTTTAATGAGCTAATAGAAATATATAACCTATAGAAACATAATACATAACATTCATTCATTAAATTTTTATGGAGATTCAGTAGGTGCCAATGCTAACTATTCTCAACATTGTAGATCCTTATTGCACAGAACAAAAGAGTTCTTGCCCCTCCAAGGCTTAGCATAAATATGATTCAAAACACTGACAATGAGTTTAAATTAAAACAAGCTTTTCAAATGTTTTCCCCAAAGTCATAAGTTCACATGTAGAGGATTTGAGGAGATATTTTCATAATTTTAAATATATTTTCATTAGGGAGAGCATATAGTACTTTCAAAGAGGGTAGACTTTCTTCTTTCAATAAATATTTTAGAAGTTACCTCATCTGTCTCTTGTGTTCGCTTCTAACTAGAGCAGAACACTGTACCTGGGATGTTTAGGCATGCAAACAAATTGAGTCTTGTTTTGGAAAGGAAAACAGGCAAATGTAGTTGAAGGAAATAGGAATAGATAAGATGCACCACAGGCAAAACCAAAAAAGCTTCTTCCCTGTTTTAGGGGAAAGAAGGAGAGAAGGGGAGGGACGAGGAGGAGAGGGCAAGGGAAGAGAGAAACTTTTGTATGGGCATTAATTTGTTCTCTTTGTTTGCTTGTTTGGTGCTGGGGACCAAACCTAGGACTTCCTGTATGCTAGGCAAACACTCTACCATCGAGCCATATCCCTAGTCCTACCAATTAACCCTAACTTCTTGATCAAATGAATTTGTCTATTTTATTTTAAGGTGTAAGAAATAATGACAGAAGCTTGTCTTGGCCAACTATACTGAAAATCTTGTTCTAATAAATCATAGTGGTATATTAAGGTTTGTCTGTCCTGACGACTGTATTGGGGCCTCCTCTATTTTCCCACTTCTGAGATGTTTGTTTCAGATTCTTTACATCACCAACAATGGCAAGGCAACAAAAACCTTAACTTTGGATTCCCCCTCCCCACTTTTTTTTGTTTAATTGAGAAAGAGTTTGCAATGTAGTTTAAGCTGATTTTGAACTCACTATGTAGCTACCCCAGGCTGGCCTCAAACTCAAGGCAATCTTCTTGCCTCAGCCTCCCAAGTGCTTGGATTATAGGGGTATGCCACAACACCCAGTTTTGGGATTGTTGAACCTCAATAACTTACAAGGGATTGGAAGTTCTTCCTAGATTTTCTGAAAAGGAGATCTAATGCTGAATTTTACTCTTGAGTTTAATATTTAAGCCATAATTACAAACAGTTCTTAGGTAATGGTAAAGTTGGAACAAATTTAGGCTATGTTTAAAATACACCTGAAATCAGAGGCTTGAAGTAGGATATAATGGTTGAGGAAAACAGCTTGAGAAATACATGGTTTAGGGCAGTGATAGTGAACATTTCAGAGCTTTCAATGATAAGAACAGCTGGCTGTGGCATACGTGCCATAGGCCACCGCTGCTTTAGGAAACATATAAGCTCTTTCTGACTTGCCTTGCATCCCATTTACACCTAATAAACCTCAGCTTTATGTTATAAGCCTTTATGCTAATTCTCTAAAATAATAGAAATAGTCACATCACTAGAGATATATGTCACCAGAGCTGTGCTAAAGTAATAAAGATCTGCTAAAAACATCTTAACCTTCCTATGTATACAGGAAGTTGCCTGGAGCAGCAAATTTAGCAACTCAGAAGCTACTAAGGAAATTTTGCAGAGGACAGTTATGAAATTTTATTAACTCCCTGGAGCCAAATAATCCGCAGAAGAGAGTGACATGGCATTAAATTTGGGGTTTTTAAACAACAACAACAATAATAAAAACCTCAAGAAATACAGAGAAGAGATGAAAATATATTACTAAAGATACTTGGATTTGGGGAATATTAGCTAGTAAAAAGGCATAACTACCCACCAACTTTGTTACAGAATTATATTTCAAGAAGTACTACGCCTACCATTGAAACTATTAAAGATAAACAATTGTGTACAAATTTTTAAGATACTCATCATCTAAAATATTTTAGTACTTATCTAAACTGATACAGAACACAAAAAATCTTTTTGAAGTTGTTTTGTGTTGTTCTGTGGTGTCCGTTTTTTTGTGTTTTGTTTTTTCAAACACAGACTTGTGATATAGTTCAGGTTGCCCTTGGATTCACTGTGAAGCCCAGATTGGCCTTGAACTCACAGTGATCCTTGTGCCTCAGCCTCCAAAGTGCCGGGATTACAGATATGTACCACCATGCCCAGCTTTTGTTTTTGAGACAGGGTCTTACTGGCCTCTAATTTGTAATCTGGTCTAAGTCTCCCAAGTGCTGGAATTACAGGCCACCATACCTGGCTCACAAAAATGTTTTAATGGACAAAAAGGTAAAATCTTAGATGGATAAAAATAGTATTAGGCATTAAAAAAAGTACTAGGTATAGCACAGAATAAAGAACTATACATGGAGCAAAATAAACGGGCCTTAGTTACTAAAATTGAAATGTACTCTGACTTGTCTAATGGTGCAGGGCCTTCAGGTGGGCAGTTTTCTACACCTTCAGATTTCATACCAATACCTCTAACTCAGAGATCATGATGACAAATAGCTTTTTACCACATTATCTCGGTAAAACATATCAAATACAAACTCTTTGTACTTTGTTGCTTTTTATAATTTCTCAGCTCTCTGGAAAAAGCATGACCATCACTGGGTTCCCAAGTGGGCTTCACTTACCTTTTTGTAATGTGGCTTAGCAAGAGAGCACTTGCCAAGCATGAGCAAGATTCTGTCAGTTCCCAGAACAATGACAACAAGAACAGGATTCCAGAGAAGCGTAGTTGCAATGTTTCAGCTTTTATGAGTTCTTTTAAGATGAAAATTAGGGTAGTGTTTTACAGAGGATCCCCCACAGTTCTTGGTACCTAATGGTTCATGAACTAAACTGAATGTTCAGGAAGCTATAGTCTTGGTGAACATGTGCTTGGAAAAACAGGAATTATATTAGATTCAAAGATGGATGAGAATATATTTATATATAGTCTGGAAGAGCTGACTCAAGTGATAGACCACAGAAAAAAATCCTATGGTGCTTTCTATTAGAAATTTACTTGGATAATTCCATACCAAAATGAGATGAAAATATATAGATTGTATTCAGGAATCCTAACTCATTGAAAGTTACACAAAATTATACATTTAAGCACAGTAAGATAGTCCAGCCATGACTTAAATATACATAATTTGTTAATAAAAATAAATAAAAAATAAAATAATGCTACAAATATGCTTAGTAATTTAAAACATTAAGAGAGGGACTACAAGTTCAGAATGAGTGTCTCAGGGCTATAATTGATATTAAAACTTCCCTTACCTCCATGATTTAGGAGTTATGAAAATATAGAAGTCAGCAGACCAGGCATGCAAGTCAGATATAACTAGGACAACAAAAAAAAGAAGAGGAGAAGAGAAGGGAGAGGGAGGAGGGGGAGAGGGGGAGAGGGGGGAGGGGGGAGAGGGGACAGGAGGGGAGAGGAGGGGAGAGAGGAGAGGAGGGGACAGGGGGAGAGAGGACAGGAGGGGAGAGGAGGGGAGAGGGGAGAGGAGGGGAGAGAGGAGAGGAGGGGAGAGGAGGGGAGAGGGGAAAGGAAGGGAGAGGAGGGGAGAGGAGGGGAGAGGGGAGAGAAAAGAAAAAAGATTTCTAGTTCTGGGCAACCCAACTTGAGGTTCACCAAACTTGTATGGATCAATTGGTTAAATGATTAACATAAAATGCCCAAACATCTTCATGCATCCCGAGGACATATTACTACAGTATTTTCTTTCTTTGTCTGATTTTTGTTTTTGTTTTTGAGACAGGGTTTCACTATGCAGTTTAGGCTGGTCTTGATCTCACTGTTGTAGCCCAGGCTAGCCTCAAACTTACAGTGATTCTCCTGCCTCAGCCTCCTGAGGGCTGGAATTACCAGCATGTGCCACCATGCCTGGCAACATTTTTGCTTTCTTTAAAAATCATTAAAATCAAAGATGTAGAGTAATTATGGGGGCTATTTTTCATGGTAAGTAAGAACTGGGTAAATAGAGCAAGGTATTTTGGCTTTATAAATGGGAATTCTACCTAACAGAAAACAAAGGTATTGACTTTCAATTCATTTTTAAAATGTGTTGCTCTGATCACTTTTTGAACTCCTCCAATTTAAGCAGTGCTGAATTTCTACTTGGTTTTTTGGCTACTAGTTTTCTTCAGAAGCAAACTTGATTTATGGTGAGAAAAAGTTTCAGGCCTTAGACTGAAACTTAACTTCCTCCTAACTGTGTTTCTTCATCAAAACTAAGTATTCAAATAAGGAATATCAATTATCTAAACCTATTTTTGGCCATCTTCTGGAGTTTCTTGTTAAACCTCTAAAAATGCTACAGTTGCACTCTTGGACAACTTGTCTTCCTGTTTTCAAATTTCTGTTTGTTATTTCAGCTCTTAGCCAGATCTCTGTGCTATACTGTTTCTTGAAATTGGAGACTAGCACATTACCGCCAACTCAATTACTTGCCTTTTTATTTGAGAAATTAAAGTCATGTCCATTTTACAAAGCTTTAACTGACAGGATTATTTGACTTTAAGTTCTCAATTTCATTCCCTTAGTCTAATACTAGGAACAATCTTTGTTTTATTAAAAAGAGAAGATAAGGTTCACGAGTATTAACACATTTTAGTCACTGACCCTCATAACTGACACAGGTGTAGGGATTTTCTTACAGGCACAAACTTTTGATGATGCTTTTCTATGGAAAACAGGGAGAGTTTTAATTCAACTTTGGGAAAATTTATTTATAATTACATACCTAATAAAATGGTTTATACAAATATGTGTTCTTATATTTTTAAAGAAAAAGATCTACTGTTCTAACACACAGCTCCAGTTAGCTTACCTCCCCATACTGGCTTTAGGTGAGTAACTGCCATGTACACCTCTTCGGCTAGATTTTTGCACAGAATTTCAGCTCTGATTACCCAGCGCATTTCAGACTGCATACCTGAATATCAGCTTAAATGCTGCATTATAAAAATGAGCTGCCATGTCTTTCCACGGTTTATCTTCATTATCTTTTTTCTTTCAGTGATATCACCATTGTTGTTCAGGACAGAAAATGTGTAATCTTTATCCCTCTTTATCCAAATCATCATGATGTTTCACAGTTTTTTCCACCTCTAAATACATGTTACTCTTTCACCCCGTCCTTTTACCACTATTCTGTTGAGGTTTCCTTCACCTACTAGGGCAGCCACATGCCCGGCCTTCTCGTTCCTGGACTTCATTCCTTAGAATATTTCTATGTATAACACTGCCACACTTAATCTCTGAACAGTCAACTTCCATACCCATTGTGACAGGCTATGATGTCTTCCTATTTGGTTAGTCCTCTACTGATTTTCTAGGCAAAGGTCCATAACTTAGTTCTAACCTAGTTATCTAATTTCATGTTACCTTTACCTCCGTTCTTAGGGCCCAGATCCCCGGTTACTTTTAGGGGAACACTGCATTCTATTTTGACTCAAATTCTTACAATGAGGAAAGTATACTACTTGACAACTCAATGCATCTTAGTCTATAGGCAGGCAGGCTACAAATTATAAATGATGACAGGTTTATTGGCAACAGGAACTATTGTCCAATTCCCCTGTGAGTCCCCAAAGGTACTTACAGTTTTGTGCTCAGATCATCTCATGTGGTACTTCCTGCCCTTTGCTAAGTGAGCTGCTGTAAGGCATTGTGCTCTATTCAATGTCAGTTCTGATTCCACTCATTCCTTTCTCCAGATGGTCTAAATATCTGGTTTAATCAGTCTTCACCTTTTAATTTTTAAATTTTTTTTGGTTGGTAATTGTGGTGGGGGCAGCCATGGTGTCACAATTCATACCTGGAAAACAGGTCATAAAGCAAATCAAGATAGAAGGAAAACTTTACCACAGGAACCATTATTTAATTGCTGGCTGAATTTCTGACTCTTGGCTAAATGATTAACAAAATGTATCAACCATCTGCCAACCAAAACCAATAGCAACAACAAACTTCAAAAAATACAGTTAAGGGATGGGGTTACATGGTGTGATAAAAAGCTTAGAAGTAAAACCTTGGCCTAGAATGCCCAATGTTAGATCTGGGTTCAGTTCTCAACACTGTACATGTATATACACATGTATGTAATTTATGTAAAAGCTCATACAAATGAATTATCTATCATAAATAAAATTCATTTGTATTTATGTAAAAGCTCATACAAATGAATTATCTCATAAATAAAATTCATTTGCATGAGCTTTTACATTAATTACATACATGTGTATATACATGTGCACACCTATAATGCCAGCTACTTGGGAACCAATCCAGAAGGATTCCAGCTTCAAGCCCAGCCTGGACAACTCAGCAATGCCAGTCTTAAAAATAAGAGAAGGGCTGAGGACACATAGAGGATGACTGAAATACATCATCAATGTTTAAATCTACAAAGCTAATACAGAAAAAGATGCGTTGCCATTAATTCTCAAAACACTCCACTGCAATTTGACTTACCTCATTTTTCTTGTTACTTTCCTGTTTACATTATTTTTATTAGTACAAGTCTGCAGCACAGGACAATCATTATTTAGAGTCAGTACAAGTACATAGCACGTCTTAATTGTTTTTACATACACACCTATCTCTTGGTCTTCTTCCCAAATCAACTTGCAAAAGATTTGTCTGGGTTTCCTGTTACCTGGTTCTTGGCACTTTGTAAAGCAGTCCTGGAAGTCTTTCACATCTTTACATGGTGTGATAAAAAGTATGGTGAATGCCACTGCACACTGCCATTTAACAGAAGGGCGAGCTTGTAAAAACATCGCGGGGGTCTTCGTTCATGTTATCAACTGCACGTGACATGCTTTTACTTTTGGCTTTTCCCCAGAGTAAAAACGGCCACGAAGTGCAAACGTTTTGAATTGTTTCTGGACGCGGAGGCAACTAGAGCAAAGCAACCAGACACGGAGGAAAGGGGCCGGCGAACTGCTTCAGATAGGGCAAGAATCAAGAATTCTCAAAGGGAGAAGGATTCAGAGGAGGATCAATGGCAGTGCGCCTTTACAGCAATAAAGTTTAAAAACTTAAGAATTCACCGTATTTTTTTATTACACCCCATAGCTGAAGTACACAGGACTTGAGTTCAATTCCTACCTACTGCAAAAGCAGTATTAAATGTATTATTTGTACCCGCACCTATGCTTTCCGGGCTTTCATTTTAAAAGTGACAATTTAAGGTACCTAGTATTTGAGGCTTGACTTTTTTTTTTTTTTTTGAGGCAGGGTCTACCATGTATTCCAGGCTGACCTTGAACTCAGCGTGTAGCTCAAGCTGACATCAAATGGTGATTTTTCATGCCTCAGCTTCCCAAATGCTGGCATTATAGGGTGTGCCACTAGACATGGCTGTGGTGTGAATATTAACAAGTATTACCAAATGAGAGGAACTCTAGTAGTGATGTATTAAAAAGTGAACTCCTACATAACAAGGTAATCTGGGTATTTTTATATTTATCCAGGTAGCATTCAGCCTTTTTAGAATATATTATTTTAATATAAAGGCACTACTATTGATCTTAAGAATCAGTGGTCATTTATCAAGCACCTGCTATGTTTTAAGACACTATGCAAGACTTGCAGAGTATGTAATGAAGAATAAGACAACCTTTTCCTGTAAGGCAGGATGTCTTTATTAATGGTTCTAAGTCAGGCATCAAAGCACAAAAGGGAGAAACGGCATAGTTTGCTGTGGAGGAAAAGTAAACTGGGAAAATTTAATGGAGGGGGTAGATAGCATAAAAAAGATTTAGATAAAGATGAGGGAAAGCACGTTTTAGGAGTAACAGGTGAAAGTCTGGATAAACATCAGTGAGGTTTAGAAAAGAATTATGTCTCTTTGACTTAACAACTATTATAGTACTGCTTCAGTGATTTCTGTTGTTAACAATAACAAAAACAAAATAAAAATGAACACCATGAGTAAATTTTACTTTATGTTTTTGGTGCTGGGGATCAAACTCACAACTTCACATTTGCCAAGCAGGGACTTACGCCACTGAGCTAAACCCTCAGCCCTCACCCTGAGTAAATTTTGACTATATATAGCACAATGCTTCCTTCTCAAGATTTCTCACCTAATTTACTAAGAGCACAGACTTGCTAACCACTTAGCTTATTTAAAACTAGGTTCCCTTCCACTCATTTTTTTCTTCCAATTTTTTAAATTGTTGTCTTTTTTGAGACAGTTTCATTATGGAGTTCAGGTTGGCCTTGAGCTCACTTTGTAATCCAGCTCGTCTCCTGCAATGATTACCTCCAGCCTCAGTCTCCTGAATACTGGGATTATAGGCATGTGCCACCAGGCCCAGCTCCAATTATTTCAAAGAAGCTATTCTTTTTCTTTAAAGCATCACATTTTTTCTTAGGAAGAACAGCATGAAATCCGAATACTCTTTCTTTGATTAGAAACAAGGGCACATTATGCAAAATAAGAACAATCTTGAACATACTTTTTTATCTGTGCTCTAATACTCTCTTCCTTCCATTTTATCTACTTCTTCCTAAATGAGCACGCCTTAATTCATGTTTTATGTACATGAAAGTCAGTCTTTCATCTGTTAACAATCCCTTAAGTCCAGCTCATCTTCTGTTTCATCTAAGAAGTCTTCTCTGAATGAATCTTAAGTCCACATTTCCTTTGAGCTTCTACCATACTTCTAGGCAGCAGAGTATAATTTATATTCCATTATTCTCTAGTTGTTTTTCATATTTTAGTATACATATATATATACACTTTTTTTTTTTTTTTGTCTTTTTTGAGATGGGGGTCTTGCTATGCAGTTCAGGCTGGCCTTGAGCTCACTTTGTAGCCCAGGCTGGTCTTGAACTTGCAACGATCCTCCCACCTCAGCCTTCCAGGTGCTGGGATTACAAGGGTGAGCCAACACGCCCGGCTATCATATTTTAGTATATTTTTTACCTAGACTACAAGTTTTTTCCTGGCAGGGACTATCTTTTATAGACTATAGTGAAGTACTGGACATAAAATATACCTTTAATAATGTAGGTTATTTCATTTGAAAAATACATATAGAAAACTGATAAAAAATTTAAAATTTTAAATACTTTAATATAGTAACTTTAATGAAGCAAAATAGTCTCACACATTTTGAGACCTCAAAATATCATATTGTTACAGGAAGCTGAGCTAGTTAGAAATTATAGGCAGTCAGACAGGGCTAGGCCTTTGAGAAACCAGCACAGAGGACCAAAGGTCGTGTGACCTTGGAGAAGACACACACCTCTTGCTGTGGGCCAGATCTCAAAACAGAAGGCAAAACAAATGCAACCACACCCTAAGTATAAACATTAGGGAATAAGTATGAATCACCTTGAGAAGCCAGGAGTCACCATCCCAACCCCGTAGAGGAAGAGTCACTGATCAGTTTAGAAAGCTCACTTACTAGGTGACTCGCTTCCCCACTTGTCCCTAATTTGGTCAACTTTACTTTAACGATTACTGATTGGTTGACCCTCGTTCTGTCCCACCTCATGCCCATCTGCCTTGGGAGTTCCATTTTCCCTTTAGACCCACCTCATCTCATGGTTTTACTCTATAAACGACCCTAAAAAATGCAGAATCTTGGCAACCTGCTCGCTCGCGACCCCGTCTGTCCCTTAGGCAGAAGCTTTCTTTCTCTCAATAAGTATATTCTGCTCTTAACCTCTGTTGTTCCTAAAATTCATTCTTAGACTTTGGAGACCTTGAACTCATAGCAGACATATAATACATAACAGACAGTCAGGAGTTTCATTCCCCCATATCAATATTACATTAAAAGATACATATATGCAAACCTATCCTATTGTATAGTCCATACATAAAATGGTTATGATAAAAAGATTCAGACACTTTTATTTTGGGGTGCAGGGTATCACTATGTAGGCCAGGTTGGCCTTGAACTCCACGTGGCCCAAATTGGCCTCAATCTCATGATCCTCCGTGGTGACCTCCCTCCCAAATACTACAATTACAGGTGTTGACCACCACTCCTGGTTCAGAATAACCCAATCCCCTCTGATTCAATTTTTAGCAATAGGTGAAAATTTTAAGTACATGTCCTTCTTGCAACCAATAGATTACAACTGAAGAGGTTTGTAATCTGAATTCACTGCACATCCTTCAAGTGAATAGCTAATTTTGAATACAACATATTTTTGTTCAGTTTGTAATCAGGTCAAAGTTTGCTTTTAAAGGAGACTGGAATTTTTTTTTTTTTTCTCTTTTCCAGTACCAGGGATGAAACTCACAACCTCATGCTTGCCAGGCAGGCACTTACGCTGCTGAGCTAAATCCCCAGCCCAGGAGACTGGAATTCTTAAGTTAAATCCTTAGTTAACCTAAATTAGGTATTTGTATTCCACTTAGTTATTTTATGAAAAAGATGAGGGCTGGGATTCTAGCTCAGTGTTACAGCACTTGTCTGGTGTGTAAGGCCCAAGTTTGATCCTTCAATGCACTGAAAAGACAAAAAAACTAAAAAGAAAAGGGAGAGTGGGAGGGCAAGAAGGATGGACAGAAGGGGAAGGAGAAGCAAAGGGAAATGGAAGGGGAAGAAGAGACAAGCAAAGGAAAAATTCACAGAAGAAAATGTAATCATATACTTCTGCTGTTAAAGGATTTAAAACACATTCCGTACAATTCTTAAAACTTCTGTAACTATAGCATATTACATAATACTTGATAAACTTCTTACTCATAAAAATTTAATAATCAGTATACTGTTTAGGAAACTATACTAAACATTACTATTTTTTTAAAGACAGTCAAAGCTTGAATATTGACTGTAAACATCTGTT